GAAACTGAGAATACTCTTGTATGCACTTAGAACATTGGCTTAAGCATCTTTCCTTCAATACAAAATAAAAATTTAACGTTGAAAAGAAAAAATATCCAGAAGGTAGTACAGAGGACCAAAGACAGAGATTACCAGCATAGTTTTTATCTGTACAGCTGTGTACATGCTATATTCACTACACAGGTAGTCCTCTGTAAAGCTGCCTGGGGCCAGGGTGGCAGGGTCTTCTTGTCTTTGACATTCACTTCCCAGTACAGACTCTAGCACAGTGCCTTGACAATAGCAGGTGTTCGATAATATAATTTTATAAGCAGGGGGATAGATAGATAAACAAATTATGAAGGTGGCCAAGTCAGATGCTGTCACATGGTAACAGCAGCATTAATGGCACAAGGGTGTCTAGCCTTCCAGACCCTTACTGTACAAAAAGAGCTTAACTTTTAAGGCTCTATTATACCTTTTGATAACAATCTAGTTCTAGATCACACACACCTCCTCTGAGTGGAGAAGCCTAGGCCAGTGGCTCTCAATGGGGGAGATTTTGCCCTCCAGGAGACACTTGGGAATACCTGAAGACATTTTTGATTGTCACACTGGGGAAAGGTACAACTGGCATCTAGCGGGTAGAGGCCTGGAATGTTGCTAAACCTCCTGCAATGCATAAGACAGCCCCCACAACAAAAATTGACTCTGTCCAAATGTTAATAGTGTAGAAGTTGAGGAACCGTGCCATATGCCTAGGGAGACATATTCATGTCTATGATCTTTTCCCCTTGAACTAAATTCTCAACTATACTCCCTTATCTTTAGGAGAACAGAGCTTTCCTAAATCAGTGTTATCATTATAACTATTAATGGGACAAATATAAGAATACTGATAGCAGTACATATTTATACTTTACAGTTTGCAGGAATGTCTTCTAATGAATTCTCATTTGCTTCTCTCAAGAATTTCAGTTGTAACTGGGGGAGGTATCATCATATTTGTTTTAAAGCAAATCAGGAGACTAGATAAGCTAACCACCATCTCTATGAATCAAAGGAGGTAAAGAAATTGAAGCTCAGAAACATTAAGTGACTTGTTCAAGATCACACCCATGAAGCAGTAGAGTGGTAGAGATACCCCATATCAGGCTTTGTGATACCTCTGCCCCTCTGTCTTTTACCACAGTGGTGGCCCAATGGAAATACAGTGTGAGCCACATATATTATTTAAAATCTTCTAGTAGCTACATAAAAAGTAAAAAGAAGCAGATGAAATCAATTTTAATAATATACTTTATTTAACTGAAATATATTTAGAATATTTATAATATACAACCAACACATAAATGTATTTCTGTAACCAATATGTAAAATTGTTCATAAAATGGTTTACAATTTAGGTACTAACTCTTTAAAGTCTGGTGTGTATTTTAAACTTAAATCACATCTCATTTGCAATTAGCCACATTTTATTTTCTTTAATATTTATTATTTATTTATTTTGAGAGAGAGAGAGAGTGCATGCATACAAGCTGGGAGAGGGACAGAGAGAGACAGAGAGACAGAGGATCCAAGTGGGCTCTGTGCTGACAGCAGAGCAAAAGAAAACTTAGGAACTAAACAATGTAGATTTTCTTCTGACTGCTTCAAGTATAGCAGTTTTTATTTACATTCCATGTCCTCATGGAAGATGTTATCATCAATACATTCCTGTCTCTTGTGTGGTAAATGTCATGTCTCAGGTGGACACAGCATATTACACAGGCAATATAAGGGAATGAGGCTTCTGTATTCTGGCCAGTTAAAGATGTGAGGACATAAAGAGAACATAGCATTTGTGATCTATTAGTTTTGAGCCTCCTATCATGTGCCTATAGCATATAAAATCTAAGCCTGACTATAACCCTGGGAGGTTTGTCTTTTCTCTTTATGCAGATTGGGAAATGGACCCTCAGAGATATTAAGTAACATGACTAAATTCCTAATGATAGGTTTGGAACCTAGTTTCCATTGATTGTGAAGGTAGTGGAAGTCTTTCTTTTGTGCTAGGATGGCAGTTTATCCTAAGTGAATTCTAAAGACTCTGAAAAATAACCTGATAAAGCTCCCCAGAGCTCCAAGTTAATTGCAAAATAGGAAAAGCCACCTTTTCTCTTCCTTCATGTTTGATATTCATAAAAAGGAGAGAAAGGCAGGCAACTAAAACAATACCCAAACAGATCCTCTGAATTGGCCAAAACTGTAATCACTAATGAGTTTCTGATGTGTCAGGCCCTATTTTGAGACTTTACCATACAGAGTAACTCATCTGATCTTCACCATAACTCCATGAAGTCAAGTGCTGTTGTTTTCATCCCTGTTTTACAGATGAGTTACACAAGGGATAAATCATCTGCCCAAAGTCACTCAACTGGTAAGTGGCAGAGCCTGGACTCAAAGCCAGATGTCTGGTTCATAGCCACAATGCAGACTGCCTCACTATGCTGCTAAAGATCAATCTACTAAACATCTCTAGTGGGATTAGGGTTAAACTAAACAGCCTGTTGCATGAAAATGTCATGTTTCTGTGGAGTCTCTGAAAACTCCCAGTTGACACAAAGCTCTATCAAGGGTCTGAATCCCTTACTCTTTTGGGTGAGGACCTATAATGGAAATTCCTATCCTGTCTTATTAATTTAGAGTTCTATTATAACCCATTAAAAACAAAAATCCCGTCTCTCTAACCGAGCAGTGTGTCAGAGAAATCCACTCTAAATGCTTCTCCATGTGCATGTTTTTATCTTGGTCAACCTGAATTACTGACCTAAATTTGGGATGAAGAAAGCACTACCATTATAGGCAGGACGTGAGGACCCTCTGGTTCTGATGTCTTAACCCCCCACTGTCTGTCAAGGTTGATTTACTTTATTCATAACCCAGCTGCCCAAGCTGATTGTCTCTTCTTTCCTCAGTGCTCTGTGTCCTCCAAAAGCATCCTGCCTAGTGGAAATGAAGCTATCCCTGGATTTCATGGGAAACTCGCTTGTAGCAATGGAGACAAATACATCAGTTGGTTCAATCGCTGGTCTATACCAATGGGTCTATGAAGAACCTTTGTGTCATTTACCATTATACTCTCCCTCTGCCCTCACAACTACCACAGCACAGCACATTAGATATAGTGGCTTTATTTACAACACGACATGGTTAATATAACAACAAAAAGAAATGTATTACTTTCTTTGAAAGTTAAAAATCATGAATATGACTGTTTTAGCTGAACAGCCTTAAATTAATCTTGAACCCTTGGGTATTAAGTATGTTCTTTGAGTTATAATATTAACATACTACTAATTAAATGTTGAAGAAGGTGGAGAGTGAAGAACATAAGTGGAAAAAAACTATAAGGAATTAAAGGAAAGCTAAGGTATGACTACAATTAGTGGGAAGGCAAAAAGAGCCCACAAATTTATGGAAGCACCTTTATTGTTGTTTTTATTTAACAAGCAGAAGGCTCATGGTGCTGATGGATTTCAGTGCTAATGGGGACATAATGCAAATATTTATCCAAGAGAGAAATAGTCTGTTTCCAATCTTGATCACTGTCCACCCCCCTCCTCTATCCCCAAGAAAAAACACATACACACGAGGAATACAGTTCTGGTTACCAAAAAGCCTCAGATATGCAAGCCTAAATCACACAGTAGTTCTTCCATAAACTGTGTCTGCAGAACACAATAAATATGAAATAGGCAGTTGAAAAAACTGCATACACAGGATTACCTCTGACTGAACTTTTCTTCCCAACCTTGACTTCTAACACTCCCCATCCCTCTTCACACTCTAGCTGAAAGAACCAAACCACTGCTGACCCCAGTGCACAAAGAAAAAAAAAAAAAAAAGGAAAGAAAAGAAAGACACTGTTATCCACCAAATATGAAAGCTGAGTCTGTGTGGAGATGTGGGTTTGTGGAATACAATGGAGGCAGACCATTAAAGGCCTATGAAGAGGTACTTCTCCTTGGTGAGGGCTTTTTAAAAGTTTTTTAAGTCTCTCCTTTAGATTAGCAGTATCAGATCACAAAATCCTTAACCTTGTGGGTGACATGAACCCCAGGCAACTCTCAACTGCAAGGGCTAAAATCTGCTATGTTCCACTGTCAGCAAAGACACAGACTATCCCACAACCTGGGGAGAGGGTTCTGGGGAAACTGGAGAGTAGAGGGTGGGGCCAAAACAAAGACGAAAAGAAGAGACTGAAACGGATTTTCCGTAAGGCAAAATCAGCACAAGCAGCCAGCCAGCAGGTTCCCCTTGTTTCAGAAGCCATATAATCCAGGATAAATCAGATCTGAGTCAGTTTTCTCAACAACTCCCACCCCTGCCCGGTAACACCTCAGGACTTAGGTCTCTGTCAACTTCTTTGTTCGCATGGAAAAAAAAAAAAAAGGAAAGAAGGAAAGAGAAGAAGAAGAAGAAGAAGAAGAAGAAGAAGAAGAAGAAGAAGAAGAAAAAGAAGAAGAAGAAGGGAGAAACAGGAAATTAAATAACAGAAGACATCTATCTACTCTAGTTTACAATAATGTGGGTGGTGATGCTTCAAGAGCCGACTTTGGGAGTGGAGCGGAGGGGAGAAAATGAAAGACAACCCCTCTGAGCTCAGCTGAGGTCTCCGCAGAACAAATGTCAACGCTTTTAACGGGCACCACTTGCTCTCAGTCGCAGAGCACACTGGCCGGCAGGGTAGGTGCGGGGGATTTCTTACTCAGAAGCCGGTAGGAGGCCTGGAAATGGGGGGCACCTCAAAAACAAAAACATCACGAGCACCACGCCAGGCGCGCCGCCCCTCCCTCCCGCTGCCACAAGAGGAAAGCGCACCAAGTGTCAAACTCGCTATGGAACTCAACCTGGTCAGAAAGGTCAAAGAGCGAGAGCGGGACGCTCATCGAAGGCTCTCTTTGCCCAGCAAACACCAGCCTCGGGGAAGGCTGAAAAGTGTAAGCAAAACCAGCACAAATGAAAGAAAGACACGTTACCTTGTTCATCCCATTCCCCATGGTGGCTGAATGCGAACTCTAGCACCCTTGGTAATGAGGTCGCAGGCTCACTAAAGACATGTTACAACAGGAGGGAGGAGCAGGTAGGGAGGGTGGGGGAGGAGGCCCTGGGGAAGAATTTCGTGCTCGCTGTATAAACAACAACAATAATAATCAGGGAAGTCCAGGCCACTGGGTTTGCTCCAGGGAGCCGGGCTGGACGCTAGGGCTTTCTGCTCGTCCGCCCCGGACTTCCGGACGAGCAGAGTTGAGGAACTGGCGCCCTTGCCGGGAAATGGTCTTGCTTTGCCAGTGCACCTCCCTGGTGCGCCCCAGGGCCCCTCCCTGGTCGGCTCCCTGGGACTTGTAGTCTGGCTCCCGGCAGCTGCAACCGCTCGCCCCGCCCCTCGCGGCCCACGGTTCCTCCGCGGCCAGAGCCGAAACCCAAGGCGCACGCGCAGTGCGAGCCTCGGGAGGCGCGGCCGTGCGCGTTCCGGTAGATGAACTGACGGGCGGGGGCGGAGTCTGGTGGTCTCGCAGCACCGCCCCTACCCGGCCGCAGCGCGTCACTGGGCCGGGTCCCCTGGGATGGGGTCACCAAAACTGCCGCAGATCTTTTCCCCTGGGGAGACTCGGAGGGCCTTTTACCAGTAGTCACCACCCTGCCTCGACTCCCTCGGTGAATCAGGTGCTAACCTTGGTCTTCGCGGCTCCCCTGCCTGGGTTTTCTGAGTGCGACAGATTTAGGCCCGGGTTGGGGGATTCCTATGGCCTTGCCCCACCCACGAAGACCGAGAAGGCTCACCGGGTGGGGAAAGGTGGGCTCAGTGACTCATCTTTGGGATGACTTAACCTCCCTACCCTGGGGGAGCAGATGGCGGGACCTCAGACTTCTTACCATGATTTTGGACGTCTAGTGTGTGCCCATCTTCAGATTGTAAACTGACTGGTTGTGTTGATATAATTGCCTCTGGAGAGCCCCTGTCCTTGCGATACAGTGTAGTAATGTCTGCACCGTGATTCTGTCTGGAGTAGAACACTTTCTAATCTGTAGCAGAATTGTTTTGAGAACTCTATCACCCACCCCTACTAAACTCTTTATTTTGTTTCCTGGGGATGGAATCCTTGAGTTAGGGGTTTCTCAGCTTTATTTGTATATCTTCAGCAGTGCTCTGCACACAATATGTGCTTAAGTGTTTGTTAAATGAACCAATCTATGCACCAATCTAGTGTGGCCGGCCTCACCCCTGATGACCTCATTTCATCTGCTTCTTCTTGCTCACTAGGTTACAGCTACACTGGCCTTCTGTGGGCCTCTTCAACTTGCCAGGCTGGACCTTGCATCCTATATGAACTGTGCCTCCTACACAGACCTAGCTCTTTGTAAAGCTGGCTTTGGTCTCAGCCCAAATGTCACCTTCTCAAAGAGGCTTTTCCTGACCACCCAATCTAAAGTAGATCCTTCAAGTCACAGTCATATTACCTTGTATTATTTTCTTCACAGCACTTAACATAATTGGACATTATCGTATTTGTTTGCTTATGTTTTATCTGTCTCACTAGAAAGCAGCCTCCAGATGAAAAGGCCCTTGTCTGTGCCATTCATTACTATAGCCATGTGGCCTAGGACAATACCTGGCACAAAGTAGGGATTCTGTAGATATTTGATGAATAAATTAATGAATTCTAGGGGACTGAGAAGACAGTAGTTATATTCTGAGGGATGCTGACACTTTAAAAAGAACTTCCCAGATTCCATCTAAGTCATTTCTCTCCTTGTACTCCATATCTTCTGGGCAATAGCAGGGACCAGAACCTCACACGTAGGAAGCCCCCACTCAGCGTACACCCAAACTGGCTCCCAAAGGTGGGATAGAACCCAGATCAGTTATCATCCTTCCTGTCCCTTGCTTCTGGAGTTTTCCTTCTCTACCACCTCCACTTTCCAGTCACTTGGAAGTCATTCCTAGCCCTCTGCTCTTCACCATTACTATTTTTACTGCTTTCCTGCTCATCAGTAACACAGTATGGTTAACGGACTGCCTGGGCAATCCCAAGAACAACCTTTGTTCCTAAATCTCAGAATGATCTTGGGTAAAATAATCAACTTTTCTGAACCATTTTATTTCTCCTTAAAATGAGAGCATTGGACTGTGAATTTTTGAATATACTATACAACAATCAATGAACTATTGCTTTTTCCCTTTACTTTACTGGTGCTGTTGTTCCAGGAGTCAGATGAACTTTCAAGAACACAACCAGTTCATAAGCTGGTACTTTCCCATAAATGGCAGATCCATACCCAATTCGACTATAATCCAATTGGAAAATTTCTTTCTCTTATTCATTTCTTAAAACCACTCCGAGGCTCAGAACCTGCAGTGATTATCTCCTAACAGTCAAAAAGAGTGCGCTGGCCTGCAATCAGTGTGGCCCCACAAGATCCTCATGCCCAGAACTCATTTCAAAATTTCAAGCTTTTATTTTTGGTTAAATGAGAAAGAGGAGACTATTAACATCAGATCTTTAAAAGAAGAATCAGATCTTTAAAATGTATTCTTGTGTGTTTGGGAGGGGGAATTTCCTCCACAAGAGACTATCTCCCTGCACTCTCCATCCTGTCACAGAACCTAACCCTACTTTTCTTCATCAGCACACAATAATTAACAGTTTATCGTATCTTGCAAGTTTAGGGCTAAAATGGAAAAGGGAAAGTCTTATCCAATTTGACAACACATCCTGGTTTTCTCTCTCTTCGTTTTCATAGCAACACCTCAGAGATTTTCAGGTTCAGTTTTCATGCTGAACAGGTGATCTGCCCATTTCCAAGTGCCTTCCTGTCTTCCTTCTTTTATTGTTCATAGCTCCAGATTATAGAAAGAAGGAAAGATAGAAGACTCCTAGATTAAGCTGGCAAGTTTCACATCTAAAATAGAAACTATTCATGTACATTCTCTCTCATAAAAATTTTTAAGTCATCATAAGCCTAGAGGAATTTCATTCCGTGTAAGATTTTTACTTCCACTTTCCGTCTTGCCATTTTCCTGTCTCTCAACACAACCCAAACCACAAATTTTGGTAATGACTCCAAATAAGTAAAGCCTTCACATTTTCACAGAGAGTAGTCTATTAAGCTGAGTCTGTACACATGTGGTGAAGGATAACCAGTTAATGGTGTATTTAGTAAGCAGTAACTCAATGTTAAGGTAGTAATATGCAAAAGCCCACAAGCAGAAGCTCAGTCATTAGAGTCAGCCAAATCATTAGGAGTGTTACTGATAATTTCAGAGAATTGAAATAAACTCTGCCCAAGTGAAAAGGAATTATGTAATCTTCCTTGGCCTTCTTGGTCTAGACTTTCTCAACCTCAACACTGCTGATATTTGGGGTTAGGTTTTTTGTTTTGTTTTTTTTTGTTGTTGTTGTTGTTGTTGTTGTTGTTGTTTTTTTGCTTGTGGGGCCATCCTTTGCATTATGGAGTATTTAGGAATATCCATGGTCTCTATTACTATATGTCAGTAACATTCCCTCAGTCATGACAATCAGAAATATCTCTAGTCCTTGGAGAGCAAATGGCACTCTCTGCCATTATCTGAATGATGGGTCCACAGGGGTAAGATCTTTTAGAGATGAAATCTCTTTCTTTCTGTCACTCTTCCTCTCTCTCTCTCTCTCTCACTTTATTACAAGTTAAATCTGTACTATTAGATAATATAAGTCCTCCACAGAATTCTTCAGCCATGCTGTCAAATAAGAAAAACTAAGAACAAGAAGTTGAAATGAAGAGCTAATATAACCAAAGCATTACTGAAAGTAAAAGAAAGCTAATGAATTCGGGAAAGAAGAAAGATGGAATCTAGAATTACTAAGCAAGAGCAGAAAACATTTTCTTCGTTTCTCCAAAACTGTCCAGAAAGAGGGTACCCAGTTGACTGGGGCCATGCCAAGAAGCCTGGCTATAGGGATAGGCTCCTAAATGACTTCAACCTTTAAAAGGCCACCTATTTCCATCCCTCCAAGTACTATTATGACTATGAACTTGGTGTCCTTCTTCCCCTTATGAGGTTTGGAGTGCCCAGACCTCAGAACACAGACATTTGGTGAGGTCAGGGAAGAACAGCTAGAGGAATGGGCACGCAGGTAGGTAAGCAGGACACAGAGATGGGGTTGGAGAATCTGGGAAGAGGCCAATGGAGAGATGCTAGCAAACATAGTTGGGAGTCAATAAATTCTGCTACATGTAGAGTTCCTGGGAGGGCCGGCAGAGGTAAGACTAGTGTTGGAGGAATGGGATTATCAAGGAGTTTATAGAGTGTACTATCAGGCAAAGGAGGAAATAAGAGCCCTGGTTCCTAAAAATCAGGTAGAAGGTGACACTATTGTCAGCCTACAAGTCATAACGTGGATGCATGTGAATTGTGAGTACACCTAACTTCTAAAATTCTAAGCTTCATGAGGGCAGGGACTTGTTGTCATCGATCTTTGTATCTAGTACCTATAATAGTTCCTAGTATGTGGGGAAACTTTCGGGTGTTTTTTAATTAAAGAGAGAAAACACAGCTGGGAGGTTGTTGCATTTTTCCAGATGTGAGGTTCAAGAATAATTCATTCTTTTCTATGCTAGATATTCTATCAACACCTCATCTACCTGTTTTTCCTTTTTTAGAATAGTTTCCATGTGGGATAGCTCTTTGCTCTAGGGATGACCAAAGTCCTATTGTCCTTTGTTTTTGGAAATAATGCAGTACACACTGGTGAGAGAGAGAGAGAGAGAAAGTATGTGTGTGAGAGAGGAATCTTTGCATACAATGCATTCAGCATTGTTGTACTCTTGTACTCTGCCGCTTGAGTTGCAGCCAATAGCTGTAGCTGGTGAGCCCAGTACTTTCTACAGTTTTGCTCTTGATACCATGAGCTTTGGTTAAGAAACTATTCCTGGTTTTTGAACACCCATCTTTCAGGTTGGCTATGGTTATTTTCCTTGTATGGAATGATTTGCCTTGACCTATGTTCTTCCCTGTATCTGCCAAGAAAGGTCTACCTGAGATAACAAACAGGTTCTTTAAAATCTTCCATGGTTTAGGGGCTCCTGAGGGCTCAGTCAGTTAAGCACTCAACTCTTGATTTCAGCTAAGGTCATGACCTCATGATTCATGAGATTAAGCCCTTCATCAAGCTCTGTGCTGACAGCATGGAGCCTACTTGGAATTCTCTGTTCCCCACCCCCACCCCACGCCCTGCCTCTTTCTCTCTCAAAATAAATAAACATTTTTTTAAAAACTTTGAATGATTAAAATAAAAGGCTTTTTCATGGTTGATGATACAAGCCCAAAGCTAC